GAGCCAAATACAGGTTAACGTGGAGTATTAAATGGGGGTGTATATTTTGGTAATTTCTCATCCATGATTAGTCTTAACCTTACCAAGGTTGTGCCTTTTGAAAAGAAACAACAACAGAAGGGCTAATATCAATATATTTACGCAATTTAGGGACTGTTTTCGGGGGACTAATATCAAAATAGCAGCGATGTAAGAGACTAATATTGAAAACCCCCAAGAATTTATTAGAAGAAGGGAAGTCTGCAAATAAGATCGATCCGAAGCATGTTGTCGTGAATTTTTCAATCTAATGGGCCTCAATGGACCGGGCACAGGCTTGCCCATTTGTCCTTTGAGTTTAGCCAATTTCTTTTTCTTTCTCCCCATTATCAAAAAGCCTGAGATCTTCATTACGCATGAAACCATGAATTAGAAGCGTAAATTATGTAGAGAGAGTTTTTAATCTCAGCTTCCAAATGACTCTGCAGCCTCTCTCACCTAGCTTAAAAACATCTCCTCAGGCTTTTCTTACGCCCCAAACAACAGTGACTCGAGCGCGACCCTGCCCCAACTTGGCTTGACCGAGTAAGAGTGGATTTCGGGTCGAACCCGCATTTAAGGCTGGTGACCCGCATCAATACGCCGACCAAACTCTCTATCATACGCTGTGATTCCTTTCCCAGTCGTATAAGGAAACGCAAACCCCCACCTCCTTTTCTTTATTTCCTCTCCGTTGACAGGCGGAGCTCCATTCGCCTCCCTTTCAAAACCCTAACCCTAATTTTTCTATTCATTTTGCCCTCGTCCCTTTTTTCCTAAGGGGGAGGGAAAAAAAAAAGACTCCCACATAAAGCATCGCCATGGCCGATCCTCGACTGTACCCCTCGAACGCCGACGATTCAAGCGGCCAGCAACGCCTCTATAACCCCTACCAAGACCTCCAGATCCCTTACCGTCAAATCTACGATCTCCCAACCTCCCCCGAGTTCCTCTTTCAAGAGGAGTCTGTCGCCCAGCGCCGATCTTGGGGCGAAAACCTGACCTACTACACCGGCATCGGGTATCTCACCGGCGCCGTCTCCGGGGCCTCCGTCGGATTCTACCAAGGACTCAAATCTGCCGAGAAAGGCGACACCTTGAAGCTCCGGATCAATCGAATCCTCAACTCCGGCGGCCATGAGGGCCGAAAGTTCGGAAACAAGCTTGGGGTTATTGGGCTGCTTTACGCTGGGATGGAGAGCGGGATGGTTGCGGCTAGGGATACTGACGACTGGGTCAATAGCGTCGTTGCTGGGCTCGGGACCTTAGGGCTGCCAATGGGCCGAGGTCGGCGGCGGTGGCGGGGGCTATTGGAGGGCTGATGGTGGGGGCTATGGTTGGAGGGAAGCAGGTGCTGAAGAGATACGTGCCCATCTGAAAGAAAAGCTTGTACTTTCTTCTTCTTCTTTCCTTGTTGCTAGAGGTCAGCTATATAATTTCTTGGTCGGTTATGAAGTTTTGAGGAGTTTTGTTTAATGATTTATATACGTATCTGTGGAATGACCGGATGGTCATGAAAGGATTTTGGAAATAACCTAAAAGTGACAATTTCTGTGGGGTTGTCATGCCATTCTTGGTTCAAAGTTTGCAGCTTTAACCTATATTCATGTTGTTGCAATATTTTTATTCAAAATTTAAGCATTCCAGAGCATTACGTTTTTCTTTTGTCTGTGTGTCATGATTGAATGTCTCGATTGTTAGAAATGATTTTACTTCTGCCGTAAGCTGCTAAGTTAAGCATGTTAATCTCTTTGTTTAAATATTAATCGTTTTCTCGTTTCTTTCAAAAAAGGATTGATTTTTTGACACCCTAATTTCCCTTTCTTTGTCATAATTGCATTGACAAATAGACAGAGAAGGTGTGTAGGATGGAATTTCTGCTTCTTTAATATTTTTAGACTAATTGAAGTATAACGTTGTATCCATATTGATGATGATTAAAATTTGAGTTGGAGAATTTCGTTCCTTGCAGTTGGTTTGTTTGACTCTGTTGCTTGTCTCAATCTGTCTGAAGTTGTAGTGCTATCGTTCTATAATCTTTGTAGAATCAGTATTTCAATCTATAATCATGATCATGTCAATGTCCTTTCTCAGGAGGGAACTATTCTTTTGTTTAATTTATTTCCAGTGTTGTTAAGGTTCGTATTGCAGATATAACTACAATTGTGCGTGTACATTATTATGTACACCATACACCAACAGCCATGCTTTCACGCACGCCCCCTTCGCCACGCCCCCGCTCATGGGTGCACACACGCTCGCACACTTACTCACATGTGCACACAGGCACACCGTATATTCATGTATAAACATACATATATACACATGTGCATACATACATCTGTGCATTTGTGCTACGTATTATGTACTTGATATTATATATCATTGTATGCAAATCCATCTCCCTAGACTGGTTTATTTTAGTTTCAAACTCCTATGGTTCTGTAGGTTGTCCCTTCTACTGCTGACTGATCGTAGAAATTCATGATAGTGTTCCATGGATTTTGCTTGCACCATATTATTCAACTTGGACATTTCATTCCCAATTATGATGTGCTGTATCAGTATATTAGTATGGAACTTCTGTTGTAGGATGTTTTGGATATATGGTTAGACGATATAAATTCAGTCACTTTTTGCTTGGATGCGTGATAAATTTATGTGTAATACTTAAGTTTATAATACTTAAGTAAAAAAAGCATCCCAAATGTTTCCCATTCTTTGTGATAACATGTTTGCCTAAATCAGCTTCCTTGTATCTTTATTTTGCATATGAAACTTGCCAAAAATTCCATGTTAACACTACATGATGAAGGCTTGGAGCATTAGGCTAGCATCTCTTGATGCCCATTTCATTATATATTTTGACTTGCTAGATTTTACTATTATATGTCTAAGAGGTTGAATCATAGTCAATGTTTTAAAAAAACGGTCTGAGTGTCCACGTTCACTGGTAGTGCCTGCCTAGGCTTAAATGGTACTTAAGCAGCCACCTAGGTCTTTGAAGCTCGTCAGGGAGCATAGGCTGCATAAGCGGCTTGCATCTCTTTGGTCTTGGTTGTTATTTCACGTCTTCCATCCTCCTCCAACATCCTCCATCAACTCAAACACCTCCTTCATTGACTGCGAACTTCAGTAAAACCTCCACCTCCGGTTAAAAAAAAAATCGCCTTGGCGCTAGGCACTGGGTCCTGGTGCCTAGCGCTTTCTATAATGTTGATCATAGTCAATAGTGTATGTGACCTACTATACCTTAGTAATCCATAATGTGATTGGTTTGCTTTAGTCCTATGTTTCATGGGCACGGGTACGGATACCTGTACGAGTACAGGTATGGAACGACAAATTTGTAAAAGGTAGGGTACGAGGACATGACTATACAAATATTTATATACACGTATATTATATATTAGAATTAGTACTTTGTATGAGAATAAGAATGAGAATTAAATTTCCTATAGCATTTTATGTTTCTTTATTATATGGATTATAAATTGGAAAATCACTAGATTTTGAACTAGACATCTTAAAACGACCCTTCAAAATCATAATTCGGAACTTGATCTATGTCTAACAACTTTCAAGAAGTGGATGTGAAGTGTAAGATATATGTTCCAAAAAAAATGTATGACAACTGTTAAGTTAAAACATGTATTGTATGATTGAGTACATGCCCGAGTAAATGTATGCATATATGCAAGCAGTGTCCAAGGAGTTTGGGTAATGTACAGATACGTGTCTTGTATGTGTACGGCTTCAAATTAGAAGTACCTAGGTAACATAGCCTTAATCATTGGAAATGTATATGTGGATCCTGCAAGATGCTTCATAGACATTTTGATAATGTAATTTGATTACTTGGAGAAGCAATTGCCCTGATATTGCATCTCCATATTCATGTCATCTATTTTTTGTCTACAGTCTGTTCACTTAGTGCTTTATAGTGTTGTTGGCTGCTCTGCTGATCTGTTAGAAAATCTAATTTTGTTTTTTTTAATTGAGTATTTTGTGTGCATTTTAGATATGCTTTAATATAGTTTGAAGAATTCCGTGTTGATGATTGATGCTTTAATATAGTTTGAAGAATTCCGTGTTGATGATTGATGTGAGGGATCATTTTATGCATTTTAGAGACGCCTTTAATATAGTTTGAAGAATTCTATTGGATGATTGATGTGTGTGACCTCTGGAATAACCAGTTGATTATGAAAACGATTATTCAAATAACTTAAATGTTTTGTCTCATAACGGATAGCTCTCTGATATCATTATTTATCCAACTTATACTGGAATGCTGTGTTTTTGTCGCAGCTGGTCTCTTATCGCAATGTTTAAGGTAAGAGTGTTTGTCTTGGTCTGATACACATGAAAATGAGTGAATGGGAGGGTTAGGAAGGATTTACCTTCATAGTGAATGTGGAGGAAATTTTGATTTTTGATTTTTTTTTTTAATATGTTTTGAGATGTTGAAAAAAGGTTTTCGGTTTGGTTTCTGAACATTTCTGCCAGTCCGCTCAATTAAGAATTACATTGCACTTTCAGTTCTGATTGTGGTGTGGGCCTTTTCTTTTCTTTGCAGATACGTTTTACGGACCAAAAGCTGAATATGAACATGGACTGGAAAATTGTTTTCTAGTTTGTTGTAACCGTGAAAATACATATTTTGAGGTAGTTATATATGAAAATTTATGCCTTTCAGAATACAGTTTGTTGTAACCGTGAAAATACATATTTTGAGGTAGTTATATATGAAAATTTATGCCTTTCAGAATATCAATGGAGTTCCAGAAAATACATATTTTGAGGTAGTTATATATGAAAATTTATGCCTTTCAGAATATCAATGGAGTTCCAACGCCCTCTGCTATGCTGTCCCTTCCATTTCTGGATTTAAGTATGTTACGGGCATACGTCCTGCTCATTTCTTCTATGTTCAAACATACGCATCGATTATTTTTTGGGCTAATCTTTATTCTTAGTTTTTCCACGCTTTACCTCTCTGCCCAATCCCCTTCCCATTAGATGTCTTTTTTTTTCTCGTTCTTCTCCTTGTTCTACCTTGAAAGCTGCCTGCAGTGTTCTCAGCTGCCACAGAACTTGGAGGCCTCACTATGATTATTATGACGTATCTGCCCAGGAGATCTACGCGGATGCGCACCGTATGCCTCTATGTGCATGTACATGGGTTGTTGCCTCGCGTTCCCCCGTTATTTACAATTTTTTTCTTGTTTCTGCTTGTGTTTTTGAGTGGGCATCGCTTGAAAATTCAAGCTACAGTGTTAACTGACGCGCTGAATGATTTTGTCCCTCTTTTTGGTGCGAGGATTAGCGAATGTGGGCGTTATGAGCTGCGTGAATGCGATTTGTTTTCGTTAAGAACTGAAAATGATGTCGGAGTCCTTTTCAGCAATTTTCACTGATTTTTTTTTTCCAAAAAGAAAGGGGGAATGAACAACTTTATGAACTACGCGTATTTCTTTTACTCAGTTTGTTAATTAATAAAACATCATTGGAAATTAGTATAATATCACCACAAGTTAGGATAACGTCACAAGAGACGAACTCAATTGCATTAAAAAGAGGGGCAAGCACACCACCTTTTGAATAAGCATATTGGTTCCAACGGCTGTATTTTGACCAACATCTATCAAAACGTGGATATTCAAACTCACAACATTAAACAAATAAAAATGGCGATAAAAACTCCTCAAAACCATCTTCATAACTGCAAAATGTATGTTTTGATCATATAGAAAATTCTAATAGATGATTGATAAGAAATGAAAAATTGGCAGGAAAGCAAATATATAGTGAGGAGAGAATAGTTGCACTTTCACCTAAATTCAATTACAGGGGAATAGACATAGCAAATAAAATAAACTTTATCAAGCTAGATTGAAAATATCACTCAGAATATGGTCAAATATTGATCAGAAATAGCCTTCAAATACATCAAATAAATAATGTAGGTTGCTAATCTAATGTCTCTGACTGCAACAGATAGATGGGTTTTTAATACCTAATACAAGGAATTAAAACTGAAAATATTAACATTAACCAAAACTATGATATTTATTTAATAGTAAAATTTTGTTTTTTTACATACATTCGATTTCAACAATCTAACCATTGTAAAAAAAATTAAAGAAAATTATTAATTATCTACTAAAGCTGTAATTTTTCCCCTTTGCATGAATCTACCTTCCGTAATGAGAGAGAGTTGTGGTAAACAAACTAAAAACAATGGTGTATGAGCTGCATATTAATTGTTACCTTCACCGGACTTGTGTGACCAAATCAACGTTCCTCAGTTGAGAGAAACGTTAAAAAAATTGTGAAAAACGTGAAAACGTGGGAATTGGGTTTGTTGGGAGAAAATCTCTCAGTAGCGGTTATGAGGGGATGGAAATGATGGGTTTGGCCCCTATAAAAGGAGGAGCATTCACTGGTATCAGAGCGCTGCGTCGATCGACGACGAAGACTGTTTCGTTCGACGACGTCGATCGACGACCCTACTGCGAACCGCCATTGATCTCTAAGCCGCGACGACCTCGATCATATCTCTCTACGACGACGGCGTCGAGCTTGGCTGTCTACAACGACGACGAGAAGCTTGGCCGCCTACGACGACGATTGTTTCGGTGTCTCCTTGTTCTCCAAAT